GATTTTGATTTACCTGACTTGGAAGACAGCATCAATACTGGTAATTCAGAGTTAACCACCATCACTTCCAGCCTGCCAACAACAGTAACATCGTCCACAGTCACAAACAGTCAATCCGTGATGTCTGTGTGTCCACCCACTTCCTCTCGTACTAGCAAGGTATGCAAAGCATATCAGGCAGACAGTTATATATATCTGTTAAGGTCAGATTTTTCAAGTTTGCTTACAAGTAAAATTGATAATTTTTGATTATATATTTCTACATGTATAATCAAGTACAGACGAATCCTGATTTCCCAAACCCTCAATCTTTCAAAGGTTGTTTCCCTGCCCTAGGTGTAATTTTTCAGTGAGTTTTCCAATCTGTACCCGATTTTTCAAACCAATTTTAATTTCCTTTAGAGGTTTGAAAAATCATAAATACGTCAATTTCCACTACTGCAAATGGGTACAATTATGTCAGCTTTTTAACTGACCGTCACATCATTTTGTCTTACATTTCAGTCAAAGATTCTGATTCTTTCAAGCGAGGAACAGAGATTACTAGAGATGGAAGGTGTTTCATTACCCACAGATTTGCCACTCACTAAGGTATTTATAATATGATGAGAGTTGTCAGCTACAGTATGGGAAAGTGCCCTGATCTTAAAGGTCAAAGTTTTCAAAGTGCGTGCACATAACATGGGGAGCAGGGATGGCACAGTGTTGTTGGCTCTTGCCTTCAACTGGTACTCTCATGTTTTCGTCCCTCCACAAACACAAGCATCTCCAAATTCTATTTCAACCAGGATTGAGGACCTGCATGAAACCAGCTAAGGCTGATGTTGCTTCCTCCTTCTTTTAATAAATTATTGTAATTTATTTATTTTTCAATATATATATATTTATATTTTATTTTGTACAATGTACATGTAACATTAAAAGAAACATCTCTTGTTAATCATTAGTGAATATGCTCTTTGATTGAGATTGTCCATCATCTCAGACATCTCAGTAAATTACACAGTGTATTTTAATATTGATGCCAACAGTCCAAGTTTTCCATCATTATTTTTTCAAACTGTAGGCTGAGGAAAAAGTTCTAAAGAAAGTGAGGAGAAAGATAAAGAACAAGGTAAATAGTACTTTTGGTTTCTACATTTTTTGGTTTTTATTTTTGTTTTTAAGTATGTTGTTGTGGTGGGCAGCCATACCACATGGGTGTTGTGTGGTATATAATTTTTAAATTCAAATATCTGACATGCACTTTATGTCTTTGGTTTTAGCAATCAGCACAAGAAAGTAGAAGAAAAAAGAAGGATTACGTTGATGGATTAGAGAAAAGGTTTGCATAAGTTAACCCAACTATAGTAACTCTTTTGTTCATTTTATAGGATGCTACAGAAAATGTCTGTACATGACTTTGCAATGAAGGCATTACTTTGTCTATGAATTTGCTCATTTGTTTGTTAATTTGTGGTGTTTTTGTTTGTTAGGGTCAAGGCCTGCACAGAGCTTAACCATAACTTGACAATGAAAGTGAACAACTTACAGAAACAAAACAAGTGAGTCTGATGCCGTTATTTACTACTTTTTACAGGAGGGGAACACACACTCTCTTTTTTACAGATAAGCGAATAGTAATCAATGACCAGTTATTTGAATGATGCAACAGAATCACTCTTATGAAGACATGACTGATCATCACAGTTATACAGTCACATGACTTAAGCAGCTGTGAAATTAAAGCCTGAAAAACATTCAGGCATGAACAAGATTCAAACCCATGCCCTCTGCGACACCAGTGCAGTGTTCTACCAACTGAGCTATCAAGCCAACTGGGAGCTGGTCACATTGTTCAAGTTCATAATATACCTGTAGAATAAAATGATGATGAAGATTGCAAGTATATAAAAGATCATGTATTTGAACTGCGGAGAATCACTCTTGCTGGATTCTAGCAACTGATACAAATATGAATGACTCCCTAGGTCCCTTCTTGATCAGCTGAAAGAGCTCCAAGCTCTAGTATCATCAACCCACCCGACAAAGGCCCAAGCAGGAACATGTTTGATGGTGCTGTTTTTGGCCTTTGGCTTGGTTCTCTTTCCCATCAATAAAATGCCAGGAGAGCAGAAGACGTCTGTGACAAGTTATGCTCCAGCTATTGGTGAGTTGAACTGTTCTAGAACAAGAGGTTTTTTTACTTTAGATGCCTTCGGGGGTGACAATTCGCGGTCACCTGGTCGCGTCTGACACATGAAATTAATGAACTAAAACTTAAGGTTGGTTGATCACCCGATATGTGAATATGATGCAAAAGGATTGCAATGTACCACAAAGAGCAAAGCTGAATAAAAATAAAATGACCACAAGTACTATAATTAATTACGTGTAGACTGCCTTTTCTTCCAATTTCATCTATGGTATCTGTCAGTTGGTCGCTTACAAGAGGTTAGCAACAGAAGAAAATTTCAAACTTTTAGCTCTAAAAGTGGTCGTGGT